GTTCTTGTCATTGTGACACAGATTTTAGTATGAATGCAGGCACGCATACTTTGTTAAATGTTTTATTATTTAAACGTATAAACTCTTAGACAGAGTGTTTTAATCCCAATGTGTTTATAGTTAGTATATCTTTTATGGGTTGATATACTTAATTCACTATAAACAATGCTCTGATACCAATCTGTCACACCCCAAAACCAAGAACGGCGGAAACGTTCCGGGGTGGAGGATGTCAAGTGAAGTATCATAACAGTGTAAAGTAGTAAAGAAGCAGCAACATCATCCATTGTATTAAATGGTAAAGTTTTAATACATGTGTGTTCTTTCATAATGTACAACAATAAAAATGAATAATCAAAATATGATGAGTCTTGACTGTGCTCCGTCTTCTCAAGGCCAGGACATCGTACCTATCTAACTGGTGACCTGAGAATACAAGTTATTTTGAAAGCCAGTATCAGCCTAAAGCTAGTGAATTCATAAGTATTTAAGTGTCATTGTCTTGTTTGGAAAACTGTCATGATTGTTTGGCAAATCTTTAAATGTAACAATTGATATAAGTTTGAAAATCCTACAAAATCCCTTATTTCCTACAAGTATGAAATGTAGTCTTCTACCAAGACCCGAATGTTCTGTAAGTAAAATGATAGTTTTTCCTTTCTATTGACTAGTACTGGAGTACTTAGTCTAACTCCTCGTTTATGTGAAAGTATCAAAAAATAAAGTAAACAGGAAAAAGTATATGATAGTCTTCTACCAAGCCCAGAATGTTCTGTAAGTAAAATGATAGTTTTTCCTTTCTATTAACTAGTACTGGAGTACTTAGTCTAACTCCTCGTTTATGTGAAAGTATCACAAAATAAAGTAAACAGGAAAAAGTATAACCATGTAAGTGTTATCCCTGGATTACCAGGACTAACACGACATCGCCGAAGCGAAAGGTATAACCTAATGAACATCCGAAGATTGTCCAATTAACCTCTGTAGAGAACAGTAGGTTCCAGGAATGGTTAGTCCCGTAACTGACTCTACATCGCTGTAAGCGAAATAGATAACCTAATGAACATCCGAAGATTGTCCAATTAACCTCTGTAGCTAACAGTAGGTTCCAGGAATGGTTAATCCCGTAACTGACTCCTAATATAAGTAATAACAACCTAATGAACATCCGAAGATTGTCCAATTAACCTCTGTAGCGCACAGTGGTTCCAGGAATGGTTAATCCCGTAACTAACTCCCGTTGAACTGGGATGGGATGGATGATTTACTGAAGGTACTAATAAATTATATTTACGAATCGAGTTTCAAGTATTCATGTAAGTATACACAGGTAGATGTATCTACGTAAAGGTATTCAGGTAATGTGTTCATGTAAGCGTATTCATGTATCATGTAAGCGTGTGTAAAGGTACTCATGTGTCAGGTAATGTACTCGTAAAGACTCATGAATGAACTGAATCTTGTGTGATTCCTTGTAATAGGAATAATGTTTTGTTTCTTCTAACTATCCCTATGATAATTAACTGGAAATTAATTGGTTGTTCAAGTAGATTTACGCACCCTCGATACACTAGGGTGTGGGAAACTGAACGAAGGATGGAAACTGTAACATCAATACATATATAAGAACATATGCGTATAAGTGTAGTTTTGCTCAAGAAGGTAAAAATAATGGTTTTGCAAGATATCTAGGAGTTTTGAACAATAATTAAGAGTGACTTGATGTCATTGTAATAAACATTTCAAAACTAATACTTTTGTTATCAAGGTATTTTAAGATAGAAAACCATTTCATGTGTCACCTTTTGAAGTATGTGAAATCTACTGAGTGAAAACATAGTTATAAAAATACATAAGATTGATTTAATAACATACTGTTTTCTACTTGTATTCCCCCCCCCCCCCATTAAAGCATTTAAAATCATTTAAAACATTTATTAAGGGGTATGAACTCACCTGTAGATGGTGGTTTGGATGAATTAGATGGTGCAGGATTGTTAGGTGTCAAGTGAGGAGTTGTACACACACTACGATCCTAATGAACATATAATCACACATATATGCACTCAATTAGACTTATTTACTAATTGATAATGTTAAGACATCCTAGAACGTAATAAACACTTTATATAAGTGTTCTAAGCCCTAAGGATTGCATCTAAGCTATTGTGGGACAAGGTACTTGGGTTTAGGGTTCCAAAGGACCCTATACTTGAGTTTACTCTCCATATATCATCACACATGGAGTTCACGGTTGTAAACTCTTGAGTTTACGACCGTGAACTCACAATCTTGGTGATATTTTGTGTTTTGAAGTCCCAAATGATCCCTAGAATTATTCCAACTTGGTGGTTAAATTCTTGGAAGGGTTTAAGGCATATAAACACCCCTTTGAGGAGTTTACAGCCCTAAGGCCATTTCCCTTAGAGTTTGCGGCCGTAAACTCTTAAGGATGGGTGTTTTTGATGCTTTCAAGTCTTATTCACATGTATTATAGGTCTCAAACTTTTATTCCAAGCATATCAAGGCCTTTGGCACACTTTGGTGTCTTTGTTTGATGTTCACGGCCCAAGAACCTTATTAGGTCTGTGAACTCACTTTGAGGGGTGTTTTTGATGTGTTTAAGGCCCTTGATTAAATGGGAACAATTCTATGTAAATGCCTAAGGATTTAGGTGCCTTAAAAACACCCTTTTATGCATGATTTTGGAGTTCATGGTCCAAGATCCTCTTGGGCCGTGAACTCCCAAACTGGGGTGACTCTTTGATTTTTTCTTGTCCCTAATACACTTCTATACAAGCCCAAAGTAGTATCATATCACGGGGACAGGTCTAGGCTTTGTTTCAGGAGTTTACCGCCCAAGAACACCTTGGGGAGTAAACTCCTAAATCTAGTGATTTAGCCATCTAAATCATGTTATAAACACATATTACGCTATCTAACACTACTAGCAAGAGGTACTCACGTTTTGGGATAAAAACCCGAAGATTCGTGAGAGAGAAAATGGCTTTTCTCTAGTTGGAAAGGCGAATAATGAATGAATTTGGTTCAGAATTCTATTTATAGTCCTGATATTTTTGGCAGAAAATATTTTATTCCCGAAATGATCTCTAATATAATAGAGTGTTGGAATAACAGTGTTGCACAAAACTCTAGTGCATCCACTCTCCTGATATTTCCCGAAGTGTAAACCCTAAATTACTTAAACTTATACGGAAAAGTTTGAAAGTTTACTGTGACTGATATAACTTCTATTGAAGTGTTATTGTTTATACATAATGGAAATTTCGGGTTGTCAGAGAGAGAGAGAAAGAGAGAGAGAGAGAGAGAGAGAGAGAGAGAGAGACTAAAAGGTCTATTTGAGACCATGAGTTTTTGTGATATTGATACACAATCATAGCCACTTATTTTGAAGATCAAAAAAGTGAAAAAAACAATTACATTACTGAAAAATAAATACAAAAAATCAAATAAAATATGTTTTTCATTAATTTTGTAAATAATTTAAAAAAAAAACAACTAAAAAAGTTTGACAAAAAAGCAGCATCACTTGCACAATTCGAACTAATTTTTTTTATAGTGAAGTTTTTTGCAATAATTGTATCGGTAGTATTCTATAAGAATATAATGACGTGGTTGCATCGTGGTGGTGATTACACATGACCGCTGGTTACGCAACATATCACTCAACCAAATATGGTCGAAAACTTATAACATTTTCAGTTAGTTTATAATTAATATTAGCCTAATACCCACTAGTTAAACATGTTGACAAGTTAAATTTTTATGTAACGTTGTCGCCATGTGATAATATATCTTGTCCCGGGGCATAACAATAATAAATAATATCCACAACATTTTGATCAATTACATTGATTATGTATGCTTAAAGTCATTTTCATGTAGGAGATGTTTTGATTTTTGAAGGACTTTCAAATCCATATAATATAGAAAAAATGAATATTTTGTTGTAAAACTCATGATTGAGAATTTAAATGGATATTGATGTTCCATCTTTATAATATATAAATAGGGTGTCATGCAAGCATTCTCGTAAAACTTAAATTATAAAAAATATTTATGTATAGAATGCACTTAGAATGTAATGAAAACCAAGGTCCACATTCAAGCATTTAATGGATATATTGATGTAACCACAAGGAAAGTTTAATTAATTAGTTAATTAGTTTTATTTATTTTCTTCTTACAAAAAGAAGAAAAATCAAATTCCACATTTGACCATTTAATGATAATATTAAATGCCCAATAATATATTTCTCACAAAAATATAATTAAATATTTATAATCTAACAATTTATGTTACATTTAATATAATTACATTAGATATCATAAGAACAAATATGGTTGAAAATTGATTACAATATAAATACCACTTAAATGACTCTTGACTTTTGTATTGTAATTAATATCAATATATATATATATATATATATATATATATATATATATATATATATATATATATATATATATATATATATATATATATACTAGTTTATAACCCATGGAACCACGGTTATAAAATTAATCAAAATTTTATAGTAAAAATTCAAAATTATTAATAATTTATTTTAAATAAATTATTAATTTACGTGATATTTTTATTAGTTATGTGAGATTATAATCATTGATTAAAAAAAATATATAAAATTAATTTTTAATATATATTAGATATTTTTTATTTGTGAATTAATGAAAACAATAATTAAAAAATTAAAATTTAAAATAGAATCACATTAATGAGAAGATCTAATAAATTTAAAATGGAAAACTAATATATTGACAAGTGGCAACAAATT